CCCGAGTAACTGTATTGTAGGGCAGTGCTGGGACACAAACAATACTGAGACCTGGGTTCAATCGCCCCATTCGCCCAACTAAAAGCCGTATTCCAACTGTTCTGGTCAGTCGAGGGTACTCTCCGACGGCAAACGCTACAATGTTTTGTCATTCGCCGAAATTGGCATCAACAGCAATTTACTCGCACTTGTTGAAAAATCGAAGGTACCAGAGGTCCAAAGGCTTTCGGGGCACTGGGAGCGGGTCATTGGTGGGAGGGATTTACTTAACTTGAAGCCAAAATATTACTTTTTTATCTATTCTCCTCTTTGTTTTATTCGAATAAAACCGACGGCACTTTTGAATGGGATGACCTAATATATACCCCCTCCACCCCCTACACCTGCCTCGTAGTTGGTGGCGCCAAAGTGGAACTAGTAGCTGGTTGCTGACAACCTCCACGACCCTCCTCGACAGCAAAATTCTGGGAAAAAACTAGAATTCTCGGGAAATTCCGAAAAAAAATTGGAAGGAGGGATAGAAAGTTGGAAGATCTGGGAAAATGATGGGTAGGATGGAGAAGGGGGTCGTATCAGAGGAGGGAATTAGGGGGCGTCGCATTTTCCGAAAATTTTCCTCAGCGGCAGGATATGCGCTGTATTCAATACCATATTTAGATGGACATAGTTTCATTATGTAGCAACACGAAATATTAAAAAAAGCATGGAAAGATTATATGTCTATTTACCTGCGGATAATTACTGATGTCATCCACAGGTCCGGTCGCCAACGAGTATGGTTTGTTCACGCGCCAGTTCACCAGACGAAATCCTCTGCCATAGGTTGGAATTCCGAAAATCTCGAAAGTAAAGATTGAACCATTGTCAGTTCAAAGGAAGAATGCTTTTGAAAAGAAAAAGCAACCGTTTTGTTGGTCCACAAACCCATTTTGGCCCATGTCGTCATTGAAGCTTCCTGAAATGGTGAGATAATCCGGATGTGTCTACAGAAGAATGAAGGTTGGGATGTCCAGACCGAATTCATTTCTCCGATCACGCCCAATTCAGCCGTTATTCGTCTCAGGGGTGCGTTGAATCCAACAACTGGATATGCATAGGAGAAAATGTGAAAGTCGTAGTTCATCACTTGCACCAAGTCTACATACCTTAAAGACTCACTATATGATCAAAAAAGGGCGAAATTCGCCCGTGTAAAGTGTAGCCAGGATTTTGTACCACTTTTGTGACTGAGGTGAGTGGCAAAAACGTCAGAGGGTGCAGGTAAGGTAAATTACGCCTGTTCAGGGCAAGTATTGCAAGTTCTGCGCGAACATGGCGGTCTGGTTCATCTATGTCCGCGCTTCGTCATCCTTCGCATTTGGGCGCTCACTGTTTCTTCGGTGTGTACTGGTATGACGGTCAAAACCTACTGTAGAAACCAGGCCTCATCCAAGATTCATCGACTTTCTTTCCACTCTTTTTTTTCTGAACGGAAGCTATTAGGCACTCATGACTTCTTGTTGAACACCTGCAAATGTCTTTGAAATGCGCCACGCATTTCACTCCCACTCAGATTCGTGGTGGCTTTAGCATAATATTCAACCCATAGCAATGCCTTGCAAAGACTTTCATTCGTACAGAGGATTCTGGTGATAACTGATCGCTCTTAGACGATTGGAGGACTTTACCGGGAAGGTAGCTGATCCGATGTTTCAGCGTCGGGCAGTAGCGCGATCACTAGCGCCTCCTGCCATTAATGTAAAAAGGTAGGACAGAAATGAAATGAGTTTTGGAAATTGATAAAAGAGATTTCGTCTCTACAACCACCTGATTCCATCTATCCCAGGAGGCCCCTCAAGTGAGGAAAAGCCACCATTAAAGGCGACTCATGGTCTCTCATCTAAAAACTCATTAAAGTTTCAAAGATACTAAATCGCTCCGCTAAAAACCCCTTTGATTCAGACGATCCGCATTCACCCCATCATAAAAATAGAAATTTAAAAGCACGAATCATCGACAGGTTATTTTATTACGGGCTTATATCAAGAAAGGAGCCTTCCAAAGCTCACCCTCACCTTCCAAAGCTTACCCCTCCCCAGCAGGAGTTGCATGGGTCACTTATACGCAAACATTCGAGAAGTATTCGAGTATCTCAGAGGCATTTTTGCAGCGCTTCCAAGTTCTTTGCTACTTGTTCGCTAGCGTTTGCGGTAGAGCCTGCATATTCTAGTCTAGTGTGAAAGAAACTCGTACTATTTTATAGCATATGAAATTACAGGTCCTCCCATGAGGCCCAGCAAAATGCCCCCACCGAACTGAACTCAGGGCACATCGTTGTTCTGGAATCCCCAATAGGGGGGGGTCGTATTTGGTCGCTCGCCAGGAGGAATTTACTTTTTGGCGTTGTGGGAGTGGCGGTTGACTTTTGGTGATTTTCCTGTTTCATGCGTACTATATGCTGTGCACCCCCCCCGCTCTCCCCCTTCCCCCGCACCCCCGGCTCGCACGGCTCGATTCGATGAGGAAGGACAGAGGGCTGGGGGGGGTCGTACCAACTCCCAAAAAAGGGGGGGGTCGTATAAAGTCGACTAAAATCCCCAACCAATGATGTGCACTGCTGAACTGCAACCTGTTTTTGATTTGTGTAAAAGCGTCATTTTCCAGGACGCCGTTGGTATTCCTGATGAAGAAACAACCACATCGAGCTCATGCATCCTAGGAGTCCCATGGTGGACCACGCTCGATACTGTCCGTAAAGCCGTCTATGTGAGTCACGCTTATGTTCGGATTTCCTGTTTGCCCTTTATATCACCACAATGTTCAAGGTCTAGAAAGGTTCAAAGGTTGATGGCCCATCAAGCCTCGGTGACAGTATTCTCTTAGGGCGTTGTTCCTAGTGTCGAAATGGCATGCAGACCACCCCCCCCCTCTGATGATTGACCTTCTCTTCAGCAATAAGGACTTTTTGCAATATTTTTATTACTTCACGGTAGCTACAACATTATACAGCGTTGTTCGCTCCGGATGAAGGGGCGTGTCAGGCGGGATGGGTTCGTCGCGGCGGCGAACTTGTCTTGTTGAAATGGGTAATGGTTGAGAACGACTGGTATGAACGGTATGATACAGCCTTGTCGCCTGTTGATTTTACAACTAATCGAAAACGGGTTAACGAGGCGTTAAAGCTATCTCGCCTGACACGCCCTTCATCCCTTTCGAATAGGAATGTACCCTCGAAGCTAGCTTAAGAGAGAAGGGCGCGACTTTTTCTGGCGCTTCATAGCTTCAAACGGGCCCAAGTAACAGACAGAGAATCACCAAACAAAATCGTTTCAATAAGAATTGCCTTGTAACTTTTTGAAGTAGGAACTCATGGCTGGCCAGGAATGTCTTTATGGGGCATTTTTGCATGCATTACAATTGAATCGGTAATTAATGGTCTAAGAATGAGGAAGGACAAAAAACCACAAGTGAACAGGGTGCAAACATGAATGGAACGCCCAGCAACCGAAAAGGCCTGAGCAGGCCCTCGTTAAGGAGACGAATCATATGCCACCGTAGCCGATGAGCTTTTTTTGGTTTCTTCTGGGGAAGTGAGAGTAAATGTTGGTAAAGTAAAGTTAGGTAAAGGATTGAAGGAAGTCTCATGTGATGGTGTTGGTGAGTGAGGCTCGCGGGTAACGATCAGTTTCTCTCACTTCCGTAGAAGGTTCTTCTACCAGTGCTTTTCGTAAGTCTGACTTGATTTGGATCAGGGGCTAAGTCATACATTACCCTTTAGGACAGAAGCCCAACTGGAAATACTGCGTGTGTGGGAGATCCACGTGCAGAATATAGCATACTGTAAAGTTTTGCAAAATGTGGCGATGAAGACAATCGCAAATAATTTGTTATAATTACTAGCCTCGAAAAAATAATAGTACAATATATAATAAATTCTTTTTCTTTTCAAAATGAAAACTTGAGTACAACGAAAAAAGCAATAGAATATTTGAAATCAAGTAAAGAAAAAAAATGGGGATCAAGTGTATCAGGTACATTATAACTAGATAGGTAATTGTAAGTATTTGGTTGTCCGGAAAGTTTTGAGAAAATTTCACATTGTTAGTTTGAAGAAGTGTAGCAAGCGAATGCCCCAGCACAACGTCATACATCAGGAGCTATTAGAAAGAAAAATGTTTGTAGATTGAACTTGAGGCTGGTTGGGACGATGGGAATGATTCAACGATGGGAATTGAGGAATCGTATCCTATGCTGGATAGAACGCGCTTGGAAATTATCTCGGAGATCAATCGCTCTCTTACATGGAAATTTAGCTTAGATGTTGCGTACGCCCCCTCATTCTCAGTACTCGCTTAGTTCTAGCTCCCACGCAAGGTAATCCCGCCCAAAAGGTGAGGGAGATAGGTTGGACAATATTTATTATAACTATGAACTCCTACCTCCTGTTGTTGTTCATAGTTAAATGAGCTGGTTGAAATTTCTCAAAACTTTCCGGACACCCTAATACATGAAGATGACCAACTTGTTGAATGCTGTGGTGTCATAGGCTACTCTTGTTATGGTCGGCGGTCCTGAGACAGCTACTGTCAGCATGAAGGAAGAGCCAAATCTGTCGCGCATAGCCTGCAAAAAAAAATTGGACGGACTGGTGTGCAACGGCAGAAAGACCCCATCTGAGTACCTTAAGCAGCAGTGGAAATTTATTTCGGTCTGTTTTACGAGAATCCGGGCTCCAACTCGGGAACTCCCAGTCGATATCCATACCATCGAAAGAGAACTGCCTGAGGTATTTGTAAGAGGAATCAGCAAAGTGGGCAATATTTTCCGGTGATGATACCTGAATGCCAACTAACTACGAAGTGCTGAATATCAATCATACGGAGTAAAGGCCTCAACTCAGAAATAATAAGTGCCATGCCAGTGAGGTTTATACCTACGAGAGTTGAAAATGCTTGATTGGGTCCAGTGACGCAGACCAGCAGCTTGATATCCGGACGTCGTCGTTTCATTTCAGAGAACTCCTGAACTGGATTTACAGTATAACTGGCTTCAAATATACTGAATACTATTGATATTGCAGTGTCTCAAAGTTCAAGCAGTGATACTGGACCGCGGTAGTGGTGAAAAAAGAAAGCCCGCGAATAATTGATCTGTCTTCCTGGCCATTTAATTCTTTCGGGCAAAAGTACTGTGTCTCTGCCGCAGGGCTAGAGTGCACACAGACCTAGGACGGTATTTGATACGTGTCCGCTTCGAGGCGGCGCAAGAGCACGGAGGCTTCAGATCACTTTTACTGAGGGCTCAGTTAGGCTTTCCAATGCTGCTTTTTGCGAGAAAACACTCTAGAGAGATTTTGATTCCCTTTTCACACCTAACCTCCTACATGCTCCGGCGCATTATCGGGTCTAGTGTCTTTGAGCAAGTTCATATTGACGTAAAACTTGCTGACAGTTTAGCCCAGACTTTATGGACGTCCGCCTCAGATGTTGTGAACGATATGGGTAGTTATCAGTCAGTGGATCCATCCTGTCACTCACCGACGGGGCCAAGTTATCAACCCCCCGTATGTGTATCTGTCTTTCACAGTTGTTAAGAGACACATGGTACGCTCAACACATTGAGGGTGTATGAGACTATCAGCCCCCAGCTGTCGATGTGTCGTGGTCCCCCGCCCAAAACTGCACGGGGTCAGAGTACGGGCCGTGGGAAAGTCGTAATTCCTTGCTACACCCCGTTTATGCTAACACCATCCGCGCGGCGCGGTCGCGTGCAGCTCTCTTGGCTTTTTGCCAAGTCCTGTAATTGCGCTTTGGAATACAAGTACAACGCAATTTCTTTATGCGGATAACATTTTAGGTGCTGCAAAATAAGAACCGAAGATGATGACAAGGGCTAGAACTCAACTCGAACATCAGAGGCAACTGTGTGGTTGATGCAATATCCCTCAGAGGCCGCGCATTCCCACAGAACATGACAATAAAAACGGACAACATGACAATAAAACATGACAATACAAGCAAAACGCAATTTCCTAACATTTGAGGTATTGCTCATGCTTCAAAGTCCGAATAGAAGGTGATGAAGATGACAAAGGCTAGAAATGAACAACAACGAATGTAGATGTAAATAAAACAAAATTGAAAAAAACTAAGGAAACGCAATAAATTGAAATCGCGTGTGCATTTCTGCGATCCGGCTTGAATCCGCTCTAATGCTATAGAAATACTTCAAGCTAACGAGTGGGACGCTTAGGCCGTTTTTATTTGATGTTTTGTGGGAATGCGCGGCCTGCGAGGGCTGTTGCAGAAGCAGCACAGTTGCTCTTGAGTTCTAGCCCTCGTCATCATCTTCAGTTCTTATTTTGCAGAACCTAAAATGTTATCCGCATAAAGAAATTGCGTTGTACTTGTATTCCAAAGCGCAATTACAGGACTTGGCAAAAGCCAAGAGAGCTGCACGCGACCGCGCCGCGCGAACGGTGTTAGTAAAAACGTGAGTTTGCAAAAACGGCGTAGCAAGGATTACGACTTTCCCACGGTCCCGTACTCTGACCCGTGCAGTTTTGGGCAGGGAGGACCACGACACATCGACAGCTGGGGGGCTGATAGTCTCATACACCCTCAATGTTTGAGCGTACCATGTGTCTTTAAGTAGTAGGTATGGGTGTGAAAATCTTGTCGCCCCTCCCGTCTGGATGTATCCCTTCCCGAGAGGATCACGAATGGAAGTAATGGTCTTTGAATGCGCTGTGATAAACCCCTCGTCCTCGTCCTCAAAACAGCTTCAGACCCTATCATTAGTCTTTAGGAAGGTAGGTATGCGCGTTCTCTAAAGAAAACCCCCATGATGGCATAATATCACCCTAGCTTCCTAATGTGACCGATTTGAAGGCCACACCATGTCGCTATTGTACTCGTGGTGAAGAGATTCAATCACATCTCACGACCGGGCTAATCAGGGCGTGTGTCTGTTCGCGTTCGATGAATCACTCCCAAAGTCATCTGGCAGGATGAGGAATACTGAAGCGTACATCGGCTGATCCCACAGGCCATTTTGCAGGCAATATGTGAATTCGAAATTCAATAGCCACTTGACAACCAAGAGTTTGGTGACCTTTAAGCAGGGTGCAACATGGGGACAGGCGAAATGGCGGTGTTAGTACAACCCCGCTCCAAAATTCAAGCTCCCCAACCGCTGTAGTTGTACAAAGGCGGAAGGTGTACGAAATTTTGCCTTGATACCCAAAAAAATGACGAACGAAATGAATCTAGACGGTCAAATAAAGAGAGGCTGTTAGAGCCGCACTGCGACCGCTCGCTCGATTCTTTGCTGGAACAAATTTGTTGGAGGTAGCACATTCCGGGGGCCTGTTCGGGGTCTAATAACTTTTCCAGGTGCTGGTATTCCTCCAAAATGGGAGACAACACGTTGAAGCCATGTCATTATTGTGCGTTTTCTTCTTACACGCAGTCTGAATCTTCCCCTGTTTGTGAAATATTTTGGATTCATTCTAATGGGTTAGTGGCAAATCGCGATCGAGTTTTTATGCTTCAGACGAAAATAACTTCTTTCATTCGCAATCTTTTGCAAAACTGAAAACGGGATCAAAAAGTGCAATATTTCCCCTTTCGAAGCATTGCAGTTTCTGTGAAGTCCCGCTAGTTCAGAAGATATTTTAGAAGGGTTTCTGATGGGCGAAATTCTAAGCCTTTCAAAAGCTCGACTCCTTCTGTGCCATTCAGAGAATACCCTTTCGGAGACCTCACTATGCCTTCAAAACACATATTCTCCTTGAACTGAGCGAAAGAGTGGTATGGACACCATTGATCGGGTTTCGTCTGAGTGCGCCATGCATAACGCCATATGCCGTG